CAGCAGAGCAGTGCACATCACAAACAACAAGCATTTGAGCTATATTTTCCAGATCAGGGTATAGCTGCTGAGCTTTTAGAGCAATTTTACGAGCCCCCACAAAATCCTTGTTTTCCATCTTCTTTTCAGCAATGTCCTTGGCCCTTAAGGCCTCTTCTTTATTGCAGTCCATCAAAGACCCAGACATGAAAAAACTTATAGTGAATTCTATGCCCAATTGAAGTGACAACCAAGCTACATTTAACCCAACTTCTCCAGGAGCAGCTAGACCAAAATTATAATGCAGAGAGTGAATAAACCTTCCAACATCCCACCTCCCCCAAACAATATACAGCACTCAAATTCAGATTGACCCTGCATATTTTTAATAACATGCAACAATTAGATCCAAAATCATTCACTTCAAGTCTTAATAAGAATATAGGAATCATTGATATTGCAAAAAGATTTCTAAATGTAATAGCAATGCAAGTGTAGATGATTTGGATCATTGAATCCAAAGTTGTCAAACTCTCAATTTAACTAGTAAACTAAGTTTATGATTGAAAGTAGAGAAAAACAAGTTAACTCTATGTCAAACTCTTCACTGGATAAACTTGGGTAAACTTGTGTGAACTCTTATAAATTATGGTTGTGCTAAGAGTATTATGTTATATGCATATATATGTTATTAATAAGTTTTTAATATCATTTTAGTAATAAGTAAACTCTTATTGAGTTTACAAGTTGAACCTACAAGTCGTGTCTAAAAAAGCTTGATGAGTTTACGTAGACTATCGAGTTTAACTACCTTGATCGAATCCATTAGAACAATAGCAGTACAATCACAATAAAAACCTACATCACAAAATTAAAATGCAGAGAGTAAATAAACCTTCCAACATCCAACCAGTCCCCCAAACGATATACAGCACTCAAATTCAGATTGGCCCTGCATATTTTTAATAACGTGCAATAATTAGATCCAAAATCATTCACTTCAAGTCTTAAAAATAATGTAGGAATCGAAGATATTGCAAACAGATTTCTAAACAGAATAGCAATGCAAGTGTAGATGGATTGGATCATCGAATCCTTTGGAACAATAGCAGGACAATCACAAATTCACAAGAGAAACCTATATCACATATTGCATGTGATCACCTCTTGCCCGACACAAAACAAGCAGAATATATACGAAAATAAAATAAATGGCAAAAGGCATTATATCCACGTTCTTCTCCTTCTCCTCGTTTTACTCATATTACCAGGAAACACACAGACCTGATTTTTTAAGCAAGACCAAACACAGACCTGAACAATGTGCTTCCATTCACAACAACATCAAAAAGCAACCCGCCAGAGTGAAAAAACTTTAAAATCTACTTTAACATCAACGCCAAATGAAAACATGCAAACAAACCCAGCAAGCTTCTCTCCAATAGGTGGGGAGTAACATTAAAACTCCAAAACCGTAACATATTCAAATAACAGGCAAAAACCCTAATTATTTCGAGAGAGAGAGAGAGAGAGAGAGAGAGAGAGAGAGAGATAGAGGGGGAGAGAGAGAAAACCATAAAAACAAAAAAATAAAAAATAAAAAACAAAAAAAGTGTCAAGTAAAATGATTAAAACATACGAAAGCTACCGTTACATTCAAGTAACGCGCATGAAGCAAGACATTAGAATTCCTCTTCATGACAGGGAATGTGCACTAAACAATTTGAACATGCATTAACATTATAAATGGAACAAAAAAAAAATGAATAAGAAAATACCGTAAATTTGGTGAAGCGTTAACCGGAAAATAAAGGAAGAGAGAAAGGGGATTGTGAAAGGTTTGGCGATGGAGTTGAACGGACCATCGGAAGAAGGGAGAGGAAACGAACCAGCAATGACTTGTCACTTCTTAAAGTATCAGAGAAACCATCATAATATTCAATTCTGACAAAGTTTGGGGCTTCCATTTGGATTTTTTTTTTGAGTCCAATCTAACTTTTCATCCGGCCCAATCCAACTAATTAATTTAATTTTAAAAATTAAAGAGCATATATTTTTTTTATACATCAAGATTACAAGTATGGCATGGAGATTGGAGTCCAAGACTTTAACTATATAACTCCAGTTCCCTCCACTAAAAGAAATAGGTTTAGTTATACTTTTTATCTTGTGAATTTTGTTATCTAATTTTTAAAAATTATATATTTTGTTATTTAATTTTTATTTTATTTCATATTTTATTAACTTGGTAATTGTCAAGTTAACCATTGATGTATATTGTTTGTCAAAGTGAATCATTGGTATAACATATATAATATAATGTAACATATCAACATTAACATATTACATTAGTAGTCAATATGTTATGTTAATAGTTAAATAATAATATTAGACAATCAACTAACGAAATGATAAAATATAAAGAAATTTAAAAATTATGTGACAAAATGCACAATTTTAAAAGTTTAGCAACAAAATTTGTGAAAATGTGAAAGATGAATAGCAAAATGTGCAATTAAGCCTAAAAGCTTGTTTATACTTTTATTTTTTTTTATTTAACATGATGCACAAAAGTAAAATCCAATGTTTAGTCTTTAACATTTCAAACTATCCATAAAAGAAAAATGAAAGTATTCCAAAATGTCAAAGCTAAGACATCACGAGAGCCTAACATTTGGATTAAAAATATAATCAAAAATTGATTCATATAGGAAACAAACTTCAATTGTAACACTAGTTTAAAATGTAACAAAATTTAGTTTGAGAGCTCATGAGTCAAATTTTGGATATGAACTAATCCATCGATACAACAATGAGTGTTGAAGAAAATGGAAAAATAAATGACAAAATAATTACTAGAAGTGCTATAACCCAAGTATTATAGAACCAAACACTTAGAAAGTCACAAAATGTTCTCGTGTCCACGTCCCCACTTGGTGGGCTCATGGGTGCTTTCTCCAACCTAAGCAAGGAGTTCACAACCATTTTAATAGAAAGTGGTGGCATAATTATGCATACATAAGCATCACTTGTCACAAAAGATGCAATGAATTGTTAAACTTCAAATAAATTGCCAAATTTTAAACTTTGTAGTTGTTTAAAGCATTTAATTATTTTATCTTAAAATATTTTTTATGCACATAATATGGTGTGTCAAAATAAGATAATTTTGTCAAATGTTGAGGAATACTATTCACTTTATTTTTGAAAATTCACATGTTTTTTCTCTAGAACTATGAGCTTTTGGAATAAGATAGGCTACGAGCATCAATTAATGGCAATCAATGAAGGACAAGGCTAGGGAAAAGATATTGAGTGATGAATTATAAATAACATCCTAACAAAAATTGCTTATCATACAAATTCAAAATAGTTTTTAAACTTGGATATGTATCAATATTTATGATCATCCAATTTCATAGGTTCGAGATGGTTTGTGAAATCAAATCAATGAGACACATAAATAGTTAAAAAAAATCAAAGAAATATATGATGATATTATATTTTTAGATTATCCTAAATGACCTCTCTAGATTTATAATTTATTTATATTTTGTTTTATTTTCTTGTTTAAGTAAAGTCTTTGTAATTATAAGCATGTCATGTCATACAAATAAGAATATATTCTTGGTGCATTGGGTTTAGGTTGATGTAGCTAGTTGTATTTATATTCAATTTGGTCTTTTATGTTTCTAAATAAATTCAATTTGGTCCTCTATTGTACAAGAATTATTTAAAGATGACCATTAAGAACTTAATGAAAAGAACCATTTTAAATCACTTTACAATCATAGAGAAATAAAATAAATATCTTAAAAGATAAAAAGATTGAACTGAATTTTTTAAAATAAAATAAAAGACAAAAAGTGTAATTTACTCAATGTAATTAATAAAGTTATGTAAATATATTTTTAAAGAGTTTTCTTTGGCATAAGTTTTTAAGGATTTTTTTTACGACAAGAGTGTCTTTTTTAGGAATTTTAAACCTCATATTTTTTAATTATTATTTTTCTTTATTCTAAGCTAAATTTTTATATTTTAAAAAATATCAATAATTAAAAATAACATCATATTACAATATTAATTATTTATTGTCAAATTTAAAATATAATTTAAAAATATTTATTATGAATTTAATTAAAATTTATTATTGTAAATTTTAGTTATATAAGCCAAACATTTATTCTCTGAATCACAGTTAACTATGGGTTAAACATAAAAAGTGTTATATAAGTATAAGTTTATGAATTTGTTTGAATAAGTTTCACCTTAAACACTTAGGAAAGAAAACTAAGGAGAACAAAAAAATCAAATAAGTATTTTCATAAGTTAAAATTAACTTATGCAAAAATTAAAAATAGATTTTGAAAAAATTAATAAAAAAGAACTTTTACAAATTAATTTATGAAGTGACTAATTTTAGTTGATGAAGAGGTTTATTTCAATTTTTTCTTTTAGAAATGATTTCGGAGAGAAGTTTAACAAATCAAAACCAAATGGTTGTGCCAATGCATTCAAATTTACACTTTAAATCAAATTAATTTATACTCAACATCGCCTTCAAATTTGCATGAGGTTATATTTCCCATATGGTTCACTAGTATATAAACTATAAAGGTCCTTCTATATCAAAATCAATAGGCCATGTATGTCTCATTTCTAATTCAAGAAAGTATAGTATCTTAGATATGTCAGCCACGCAGGGATACGCATTGTTTCCAGACACAAAAGCGATCACTTGGTTTCTTATCTCAATCCAACTACTACCAGGCACTTTTTTCACCCCTTGATCCAGCATTGCCTGCCGTACTATCTCTGCTTCTTTCCACTGCCCACTAGCACAATACAGATTTGACAACAATACATAACCAACCTCCTTTTCAGGCTCCAAGTTCTTTAGATATTCTCCCACACTGCTCCCAGTTCCTAAATCTCCATGTGCATAACAAGCTCCTAGTAGAACCTCGCATGCATTGGTCCTACCTTTGCTTGTCTTGGAATACTTCTTAGCTAAACTTGTTGCTTCTGCCACGTGTCCACCGCGACCAAGCATATCCACCATGCACGCCACATGGTCCATTCCATGGGAAAGTCCAAATTCCAAACTCATCGACTGAAAGAATGCAAAGCCCTCATTTATAAGCCCCAAGTGGCTGCAAGTCATTAACAGCCCTGTGAAGGTTACTTCGTCAGGTTTCACACCAGATGCCACCATCTCTCTGTACAAGCATATAGCCTCATTAGCCCGCCCGTGCAGTCCAAATGCAAACAACATTGAATTCCAAGAAACAATGTCTTTCTCAAGAATACAATGAAATGCAAGCCGTGAACCTTCTATATCCCCACATTTTGCATACATGTTAACCAAGCTATTGCCAACATACAAATACTTGTCTAAACCATTTCGAATGATGCAACCATGGACCATTCTTCCATGAACTAGTATCGCTAAGCTAGCACAAGCATGAAGGGCTGCTCCAGCTACTAAAGCATCAAGCTGGATTGAGTTTCTTGTCATGTCTAAAAACATACATAGAGCTCGCTCTCCATTCCCATTTCTCGAATACCCTGCAATCATAGAAGTCCAGGAAACAATATTTCTCTCTGGGGCTTGCTGGAAAGCAAGAAAAGCTTTCTGGGTATCCCCCAATTTCATATGAGCATCAATGATCGCATTCCAAGACACTTGATTAAAACATCCAAAAGAGTTAAAAATCTTCATGGCATCATTATGACATTCTAATTTGGCATAAAAGCTCAACATCGAGTTCTTTACCTCCATAGCAGAACTCCAACCAGATTTTATCACAAAATCATGCACCATGCATCCGTACAACATCTCCATTGACTCGGCACAAGCGTTCATGAGAGCACTGAAAGTCCACTGGTCTGGCTGACACAAACTCTCACCACACTCACACATCTCTTTAAACAAATGCAAACATGCTTCAACCTCGCCGCGACGAGCATGACCCGCGATCATTATATTCCAAGCAATCATAACCCTTTCAGGCATTCTACGAAACAGTTCAAGAGCCATGCAGAACCGGCAAGAGTTTGCATAAGCAAAAAGAAGTGAACACCACGTCACTTCATTACTAATACTCATCTCATCAAACACTTTTCTTGCATCATCAGGAAGCAAACACTTTCCATACATATCAATGAGGGAGTTAGCCACAGGAAGAGAAGACAGGTAGCCTGAGACAACAACCAAAGCATGCAGTGTTGCTCCAAAACGAAGATGGGATGCACCAGCGCATGCATTTAAGGCCGCAGAGAAGGAGAAGTTGTCGGGTTTGGAATGGGAGATTCTCAAGCTACCAAAGAGACTAAGACTCTGTTGGTAAAGTCCTACGCGGGAATAAGCGGTTAGCATGGCGTTCCAAGCAACAGAGTCTTTGTGAGGCATTTCATCGAACAGTTTGCGAGCATCGCAGATTTTACCTGAACGTGCTGTAGCCACAATCTTAGACGTAGTACGGAACAAAGAAGAGCGCATGCCATTCATTCAGGTTTTGTTTTTGCTAAAAGATATGCCACAATTGTCTATTACTCATGCTACCCGCAAATAGCTTGTGGCCGTTCCAACGTTGTACAAAAGAATTATTAGCACTTTTTTGTATGCAACGAAGATAATAGGAGTTTGAATCTTAAGACTATGTACAGAATATTCAGATCTCTAACCACTAACCCAATTTCAGTGGACTATTTGTTTAGGAAAAAAACTTGCATACACTTCTAGGATGCACTTTTCTAATTAGAATTAGAATTAGATCGACAGTCAACATTTTTTAATACAAACTATTATCATGTGAATCACTGACATAAATTTCCAATTCTAATTAAAGAATTATCCATAAAATTGTGTGTAAGTTCAATCCAATTTTTTAAAACATTGGTTATAATTTATTATGTTGGAAGAGTTCATGAAAAAATGAATAAATAATAAATGCATATAAAGCAATAGTATCATTTAATGAAGAGTAATGTCACATTCATTTACGACACATTTTTTTGTTCCTATTTATTAATTTAAATCAATAAAAAAACATTTAATTAAATATTCAATTTTAAAAAAATTCCAGCTTTTTATTTTTTTAAGTAATTTTTTTAGTCTTGCTCACAAACTAATTCTGCTCACAGATTTTTTTATGTGCAAACAATAGAAATATTAGATTTCTTTGAGCATGAGATTTGCAAGATTGTTAAAATTATATAAGTTATTCAACATATAAAAATAATAGTTCAAAATTCAATAATGTAATTTTCACAATTTATCACTTTCAATTATATTATTGATAATCTAGAATATTATATTTAAAAATTATAAGACTAAAAATAACAACTTTAAATTTGAGAGACCAAAAACTAAAAATATATTTAAACCTAATTTTCAATATAATGTTTTAAGCAGACCAAACTGAATAAAAAAATAATGAGATCAAAAACTATATTCTAACCTATTAAAAATTAAACTATACTTATAAATGTCATTACTCATACTTATAACATATAGTATTCAGAATTAAAAATGAATTGCTTTAGTGACCCATTTTCAGTTGAACCAAATGGTTCAAGCCTCGAACTATAAGACTATCTCAGTATTTGGTTGTGTCAATAACCTATAACGAGGATAGAAATCGTGAAAAATCATAAGCTAGCCTATATGGCTTAGCCTTAGAGCAGGTACTAGACTCGAGTATTTTTGGACCAACACCCTATACATATAAAGGGGTAAAATATTTTTTCGTTTATCAATTTTTTTCAAATTCAGTTTTAATCCTTTTTAAAAAAATTACCCTATTTTTACACTCTTATTTCAAAATATTCCGCTTTTAGTTCTTGAAGTCATACTTAACATTTAATAGCGATTATAAACAGTAAAAAAACACTTTAAAAATCAATAGTGAGATAATTTCAAATAAAAATGAAGAAAATAAAACAATTGTTTTAAACCAAAAAAACTGATTTAGAAAATTTTAAAAGACAAAGAAACATGCTTTATTTACACAATGTAAAGTGTTGTTGACAAGGGAGCTAAATACTTTATTTGTCCATTGTGATGCACCAAAATTCCAATCGTTATTTTGTTAAAACACTTTATTAACTTTTCAAATAATTTTCTATAATTTAAATATTGAATTCCACTTAATTTAATGAGATGTTTACACCTACATTCCTTCGGGTTGTCGACTTATAATGCAATGCATAGTATACGCCTTACACAGGGTATCAGTTTTTACACAATTCTTTACTTCCACCATAACAGTTGCCAACTAGCGTCCGAAATCAATTTTTTTTTGGTAGGCTACGATTATGTTAAAGCTATATAGCGCAGAGAAAATGGAGAGAACAACCTTACATTGTTTTTCTCTTATTTATTTTGTCGACCAATTTCCTATCAGCCATCAATTAAGTCGTATCTTGATTAAATTCAGACAAGAAACACTACTTTCGTCACAGCATGTCTGTTCAGCTACCAGATAATATAAAAACTCTACTATAATTTGTTTGATGATCAACATTGAAATGTCCTATTCAAATAGATGTAATGCGGGTTACTGTTTTAACAAATTGTCGATGGCAAAAAATACTAACACTTGGGTGTTGGACCCTGTAATCATATTCCAAGATCAAGTAATAGAATAACCACCAGAATTTAAAGGTAACATTACAACATATATATACAAAAATTCCCTACATATGATATATGATATAATATATACAAAGACAGAATTCATTACTTGGTTTCAGATTCTTGGGCTTTTTCCTTCCACTGAACTCTTCTCATCCAAACTCTTTTCATGTGCCTTTTCGTTTACAATCTGACTCTTGAACAATGTTTCTTCCATCCCCAACTTCATAATCTTTTTATTCCAGCCGTATTTCGAAGCAGGCACTTGAAACCTTCTAAGAGGAGCCCTCGGCTGCAGAAGGAGGGGACTTTTCAACGTCTTCCAATGCATTTTCCTGGTTACTAACACCAGCTTCAGATTTTTTGGTGTCTTCCGATGGATTTTCTGGATTTTTCTGGTTACCAACACCAGCTTCAGATTCTTTGGTGTCTTCTGATGGTTTTTCTGGATTTTCCTGGTTACTAACACCTGCTTCAGATTCTTTGGTGTCTTCCGATGCATTTTCTGGATTTTCCTGGCTATCAGCACCAGCTTCAGATTCTTTTGTGTCAAGTTTTGCAATGGTGTTGCCTACTTCCGATGCATTTTCTTGATTTTCCTGGTTGCTAACACCAGCTTCAGATTCTTTGGTGTCAAGTTTTGCAACCGTGTTTCCAACTAAATCCTTTTCCGACAAGTTCTCCTCGTGTCCCATGTCTTCTAATGCATTTACTTGCACTACTTGATTTTCCTGGTTAGAAACACAAGCTTCAGATTCTTTAGTGTCAAGTTTTGGTACAGGGTTGGCAACTAAATCCTTCTCAGGCAATCTGTCAACATGTTCACTCTCTGCTGCTGAAGAGCACAGAGATGAAGCCCCACCAACTGATGCAGTTTCTGGCACAGCCAAACAATCTGGAGTAGCATCAATTCCATCACCCGTAACAGTTTCGGATCCTTCTGACACATGTATTCTTGCCTGGCTGCCAACTGTACCTTCTTTAGATAAGCCTTTCACCTTTTCAAGGGATACTGAAGTATTTTGGACTTCAGATACATTTGCCACCTCAGCAGTATAGTTTTGACCATCTCCTGCCGTATCCTCAATGTCTCTTGATCCATCCTGGGCTTCTGGGACTTCAGATACATTTGACATCTCAGCAGCACAGCTTTCACCATCTCCTGCCGTATCTTCAATATCCACCAATCCTCTCGATCCATCCTGGGCTTCCAAGATTCCTTGTTGATCCTCATCAGACAATGTCTCCACCTCTTTTTTCCCCTCTGATGTTGTGACATCATTCACGGATGTCCCATCAACCTGGAATGCACAGATAGAATCATAGGCCAGAAGTAAGAGAAATGATAGATCACAGATATTGCTTTAATGCAGACAACTTTGAAAGCTGTATGCATAATGTAAGTCATCTCCTAATTTGTCTAACGTGCTTATGCCTAATACTGATTCCATATTTAGAAGAGAAATAATGCAGTAGTTACTCTGGAAAAGAGGGTTGTAACAACTAAGTGTACAATCATAATAAACGCAACCAGACAGCTTAAATTTTAATTTGCTTTACTTTCAACTGGAAAAAACTTCTTACCCTCTCACAGGCACATTATGGTCTTTAAATAGAATATTTTTTATCGATTTGACTACCTTGAAAATGAAGCAAACCTACTGACCATAAAACCAAGACAAAAAGTTTGCACGGAGTCTGAAGGGGAAACCAACCTGTGTCTTGCCTTGATTACACATCTCAGCATCAGAATTAATTAATTCCTGCAGCAGTACTGGATTTGTAGAGGGAACCTGAAAAAATGAATTCATAAAGGAAGTTAAAGGAATATTGTGGCAGTAGACATAATATGGGAGCAAAATAAATGACTTACCTCAGTGGCATCTTTATAGCTCCCCTCTTCAGTCAAACAATCTTTTGATTCCTTGAGTGCACCCTTGTCAGATGACAACACAATCTGATTGTCCTCAATCGCCAAGGAGGATGATGGCACAACAATGTTACTTGATGAAAGTCGTTGTGCATTAACTCCAGCTACATCAGATGAATCCATTAGATTACCAATCTCAGCTTCTGAAGCATTTGATTCCTGTAAAGTTAATGGATTTATAATGGGTTCCAGAAGAAATGAGTACAAGATTAAAATTGAAGGCATAGTAACTACCAGGTGTCAAATGACATACCTTATTAGCATCTTCACAATACTCTCCAGTCAAAGAATGTTTTGGCTCTGCAGTAGCAAGTGGGCTATCATGTACATCAGCTTTATCTTGCTCCATCACCAAGGGAGAAGGCAAATCTGTTTTTGTGGACGTCAGTCCTGGATCAACCCTGCCAACATCAGATGTCTTCATTTCATAACCCTTCTCATCCTCAGAACATTCTGATTTCTGTTGTGGTAATGGATTTGTAACAGAATCCTACATAAACAAAGTCAGTACACAAATGGAGAAAAAATTACAGAGCCAGATGTACTAAATATGTACAAAATAACATACCTCAATGTCATCCCTACTATTCTTGATCAAAAGATCTCCTTGTTCACTTGGAGCAAAGGAACTGCTGAGAGGACCCTTGTCAGATATCTTATCAACATTATCTCCCTCCATCTGCGAGCAAGAAGGTACACCCATGCTTTTGGAAGTAAGCCTTTCTGAATCATTCTCAGAAACCAGAGAAGCATCCTTTTGATCACTAATTTTAATTTCGGGATTTTCTCCTTTTACCAACAACAATTGACCCTCCCCAGAGGGGCTAACAGTCATTGGGGAATCTGATGACATTTTATTGATTTCCACCACTGGATTTTCCGGCAAAACATCAGATCCTTCCATATCCCTTTCAGATAGACACTTGTCAGATGATACCCCAATCTTTTCTTCCTCTTTCACTTGGGACAATGAAGGAGATGAAACTAAATCCAAGCTCTTCAATGTATTATCTTCAGATCCAGTCTGAGAATCACCAACCTGCGACATATATTTATCACCTAGTTCAATCTTAGAATCCTTCGATTCATGTGATGGAGATGAGCTGATAGATAGGCGCCTTGTGGATGAGCCTTCTATGTTTTCTTCCTTTGTCATCAGATGGGAGGGAAAATTCACATTTTCTTGAAATACATCGTGTTTTAGATGTAAAATCTGACTAGTGGATGAATCCATTTGAACACCAGTTTCCACTTTATCAACATTAGCTTCCTCCTGGACTCCAGAGTTGTTAGCCACAGTCTTCTCTATTGTTTCTTCCAAAGGTTCTGAACTCCTGACTAGACTTGTTACAGCTGAGCCCCTATTTTGGTCTTCTACCAAGGTCAAAGGGAGCAGAACTGCAGCTTCAGACACAGTTCCCTCAACAGGACTGCCAACACCAGAAATACCTACTACATCAGTCTTTGGATTGCCAATCGGATTAGGTACTACTATATTTTCTTGAGAAACGGGGTCAATATTTTCAGGTTTAACAACACAAGACTGAAGATGTTCACAATTGGAATTCCCGTCATCCCTTTTTTCCTCATGAAGAGGATTTGAGCAGCTCTCAATCAATGGAGTACTGTGCAATTCACCGGATTCTAGCGACTCTGGATGCTTCTGAACTTCAACAGCTTTAGGACCCACAAGACCTTCCTTTTCAGAAGCTGATTCTGAACACTGTTTCACGGAGGGTTCTAATACCTTTTGAGAATTATGTCCCAATGTACTCTGATTCCCAGGCTCCACCAACTGAGAAGCAGGAATTTTATCAACGATCTCCTCATCAACAGAGAGTTCAGCAGATGCTTTTAAAGCAGATTCTGGTTCGTTTTTTATTTCAGTATGTTCCAAAATACTAGAAACTACCATTGTCCTTGGTTGAGGATCTGTTGCAGGTTGTGGTTGATCACTCAAATTTTCAGCCTGAGCCAATAACCCAGAGTTGTCATCACCAGCAAGGGACGAAGATTTCAAAAATAGTTCTGAAGGCTCCAACTTTTCATTACAAATGTGTTCCGTGATATCAGGAGGTTTGTTTGTGGATGAATGGCTCTCAGTGCAAGTATCAGCCCCAATAGATACAGGATTATTACTTAAAGTTTCTGGTTCCAATGGAGTCGGAGGGATTCCTGTACCACCAATATCAAGTGGAGAAGATCTTGAACACTTCTCTGAAGAGTCAGATTGGTTCCTTAGTTTATGATCGATTACTGCAAGAGGTTCAGCACCGGAAGATGAACCCATCTGATGGCTAGAAGTATCTATATTTAAATCATTGGGGGCACAACTGGTAGGAAGTCTCTCAGAAGAACTATCAGTCTTCTGGGCAGCATTAAGAGTTGTCTCAAGAGCTATTTTACACTCTGTGGTTGAGCTTTCAACACAATGTTGTGTCTGTTCAGCCTTTTCTTTAACATCTGATGTCAGGCTATGTTCTCCAATAGTTGGTATATCTAAACTTGCTTTACCCTCTAAATTCTGAATATCGGATGCCACTTCTGATTGTTTCTCATGAACATTCACAGCAACATTTGTAGTAAGGCATGCTGCATCAGCAGTTGCTGTATCAGAACGAGCTACATCCTCCATACTTTGGCTATTGGAGGCATCCACTGCAGCTTTAGTTGTTACATGTACAACAGGTGTAATCCTATCTTCACTCCCAGAAGAATCATGAGCTTTAGGCTTTGGTAAGCAAGTTCCAGAGAAAACTTCTTTCATTACTCGTGCAACATCATTGACATTATGAATTCGTCCAAAAGCAGCAATCTTATCCGTGGATATTGGTGCACCATCAATCCTTGTTGATGAAACTTTCTGTTGCTTATTTTGGCCAGAATTGGTTGCTCTCTCTTTTCTTTTTGAATCATGACTAACTGCTCCACTGGGTAAAAGGATTTCAAATGCTTGGGTTTGAGTAACATTGGCAGTGGCTTTACCCAGCAATGAATCCCCAGAAGAATTCGGTGCATGATGACTTAACTTAGGATCCTGACCAGTAACAGCATCAGGAACAACAGGTAACGCTGAAGCTGATTTTTTACCCCTACGCCGTGGTGGCTCCGCTCTATTTTGGGTTTTACGACCTTGCCTTCTGGCAGGCAAGGATTCAATAGAGCCTGGATGAGTAGATTCAGAGCCTGTCGTGGAAGGATAAACAGTATTTGATGTACTGGGAACAATCTTTGGAGTCACAGGATCTAAAGATTTGATGATGCTTTCTGTGGTTTCACTACCAGTCAAGGGCATAGTTGGAGTATCAACAACTGACGGGATGGTTTTTGAAGTTTCAACAGTTTTTGAAGTTTCAACAGTTTGATTGTGAGTTGTACCACCCAAATGTTGATCCTTTGTTACCTCAGTAACAGGCAATGTTGTGACAAATAAAGTTTCATTCCCTGAGTTATTGCAAACTTCATCAGTCTTTGATGAGGTAGTTTCAGAAGATTTAACAACCTTGACGGAAGAATCATGAACATCAGGACTCTTGACCTTCTCAACATCTTGCCCTGCAAAAAAAATCATGTGTTTATATCCAAGATTTTTCTAAAACAAAAGAAAAGGTTAAGAACTTCAATACTGCAATGCACAATTCACCTGGAGATTTGATTATACTATCTTGACATGAAGACATGATCACCGTCTGCTTGGCTGAATCATCTGATCCTCCCAACGACTTTACATCCTGATCACCTAGGCTCTGCAATGCTTGATCCTGAACAGCACACTTTGGTTCTTGAACAGTGTTCTCTTGCAAGCTTTTTAAATCAGCAGCTTTTTCACCTGACATACTGCCTGATGAAATTGGTAAAGCAGTTTGATGTAAATCCTGATGTAAAACATCTGGAACCGGAGCTAATATTGTTGCCTGTTTCTTTCCCCTACGTCGGGAAACCCCGGTTTGTGACTTTTGATTTTGTCCTTTACTTTGCATTTGTATGGGCGGATAAGTTGGCGCAGTTTGAACCGTGGTTGTAATAGAAGGTAGAGAAGGGGGTGCCGGAGAATTCAAAACAATACCAACACCCAAAGGATCCTTTCCACTGTTCAAAGAAACAGAAGGTAGATGGGGTACTGCAGCAAGGCTGGGAACAGTTTCACTCTGTGATATGACTTGATCTGAAGAAGGACTAACCAATTTTTCTTCCAATTGCTCATTCACCTTTATATCAGGACCAACTGAACCACCAGGGATAGGAGGTGAAATAATCGCCTGCTTCTTCCCTCTACGTCTAATCCCTTCACCACCATGACTTTTCCGCCCTTGTCCTCTTGTTTGATTAGGCACAGAAACAGGAACAGCAGCTACCTGAGAACTTGGTGGAATAGTAGGTGTAGGAATGGCAGGCTGTGCGTTAGGAGCAACTCCTGCATCAGGCTGGGGCATGGGTGCATTCACACCTATAACTTCAGCAGAATGAGCAACAGAATCAGGAGTTGATGATGCTAAATGTCTAGACCCAACTCCTTTCTGTGTGTCTATCTCAACAGTTCCAGAAGCTACTGGAGGGGCCATCACAGATGGTGACTTATCCGAAGTTATTCTTTTAGGTCTTCCACGGCCGCGTTTGGCAGGTGGGGTTATCTCTTTAACTTGCTGTACTGGCAAACTCTCCACAGATGGCAATGTTGGGACAACTGGTAGCACGGCCACAGGTTGTGAGTTGGAAGTAGATACAACAGAGCTGGAAGTATTTGTTGGATAACTCATCTCTGCTACTTCTTTTACTTTGGGTGAATCTGGAGTTTCAACCTGACACATCTTCTCAAACTCCTCCTCTGTCCATTGCTCTTCATAGGAGCGTACCTTCAAAAAGTATGTACATCTCAATAACCAATTAGATAGTACATCACATTGTAAGTTATGTATATCAGAATTATACAAGATTAACCCTAGGGAAAACTCATCATATGAAGATCTGAGGCAGAGCATATCATACAGAGAGCAAAAGGTAGGCAAGGAATACAACCGACCACACAATCCAAATAAACAAAATATAAAGACAAACCTCTCTAGCACGCTTTCCCCTGCCATAGTGTTGTGTATCAAGGCCCCCAAGATATCCGCTCTTTCGCTTTACTCCAGTAGATTCTACCCCACCCTTAGGCACATCAGATATCTTCATTGCTTCATAGAACTGTTTCAGGTCTTCATCAGTGACCAGACGAGCAGGAAGTGGAGGTACAAGATCAGAGCCATCGGTTGCCTGTCCAAGCACCAATTTCTTCCATGTAGCCTGCAACATTATTTTGAAGCCACAGTGAGATTCTCGTTTAACAAACCGTAGTTAAAACGCTATATGTATGCTGATGAAAAGCATAAGCAATTACTCAATAGAATAGTACCAGCTCATCTTCCTTCCTTTTTTTGTCAACAGCCTCAAATATATCTAACTCTGTTTCACTGCCAACAAAAACAAAATTTGCATCAAATCTCTTTTTTTGTCTTCTCTCTTTTAACTAGGAACTTAGGAGGAAGAAGGACTAGCCAAAGGGAGGAGCACTAAATTATATGGTAGTTTAATTATAATGTTATTTTAAATGCAAGTACAATGGAAAACAAACAGTTCTAATACTTAAAGATCTTATCAACAATCAAAGGTTTAAATAGCACCATGCAGTAGGCAGGGCCATCATGATTGCATACAAAGTAACATTATAATCTGTGACTTAAATCAGCAATGCATAGGTTAGAATGCTGAAATGACAATACATCAGAAACCATTTATAATAAAATTGAGTTAGTAAAGTGCCAAATACATATCTTTCCAGAATTTCCATTAATTCTTACTTCACCCTCCTAGTTGTCGTTCTCAAAAAATTAACACATTCAATTATACATGAAAATAGCAAGAGAAAATCCAACAAACCAGCTAATCATCAGAAAATAAAAAGAAATACCGGGCTATGGATAATAGACAGATGGTAAAAGGATTTAAAAAGGAACCTGCGGGCTAAAAGATCATTTAGAGCATCATCATCCAAAACGGGTGCAGCTTCTTCTTTCTTACACTCCCGCAGGAGTGCTTCTAAGTATTCTCTCCGATCTTCAGCACTGCAAAAAACAGAAAAACAGAAACTTCAGAGCTGACACAGAATGTTCCAAATAAACTAAAGGTGAAATATCATGGCATCGCCAACCTTGTATTATTGTCAAAAAAACCAGCAGTAATGCTCTGATTAGCAACACCAAGTTTGTGCTCAGCTGAAGCCCTGACTTGTTCTTCCACAGTTTGAACCTTGTTACATTGTAACCACAAGAAGCAACTTTAGCATATGTGGAAGAACAAAAAAACCTACTATCAATTCAAACAAAGCAGAAAAGCTAGATGCATAAGCAAAATCAAACATATTTTGCAAGATAAACAAACCCTCCGACACAAAACAAAAAAAGGATAAAGGGATAAAATATCATCATCATGACCACAATGTATAATTCCCTACGATTTCAAAGAGGAAAAAAGTTTTTTTCCCAAACTAACCTAAAATTACCACTAGTACTCACCACATGTTATCCCTATCAAAAGATACATGCATCAGACGGTCCATAACAGTACTAAAAAGTAAAAACTAATCCACGAGGAAAGGATAACATCCAAATCAAGTATTAACTATTAATAAAAACAATTTGATACATTACTCCAAGATTTTAAAATTGTACATGGCCTGAGACAGTAAAAAGCACATTTTATTACCATCACACAACAGGAATGGAAGATGCATTTTACAAGACATGAGATTTGAATATTAATGCCATTTTCAGTTCTCACTGTAGAGTAAGGATCATATCTATGATAAAGCAAATTGTGTTAAAATCAAAAATGCTTTATAGGGACCAAATATACTAGTTAAACACTCAATAAAACTTATTCTCTTTAATAATACATATTTTCTACGAAGAAAAAATTCATGTTGCTATAACGTAGCATATATACAATTATATGTCCCAACAATGACAACCCATAATTGAAAGGGAAAAGCACTAACTGTTTCAAAACGAAGAACAAGAACATCCCTCTTTTGACCAATTCTATGAGCCCTTGCTTGAGCTTGCAGATCAACCTGAAAATATAACAACAAATGAAATCATACTAATTATACACAAAAACAATTTTTTTAAAAAAAAAAAAATCATATAAAAGAAATTTCATTGCCTGTGGATTCCAGTCAGTGTCAAATAAGATCACTGTGTCAGCAGCTTGAAGATTCACTCCAACACCACCAGCTCGAATGCTTATTTTGACAATAGATGAAAGTCATCAATATGAAAGATAATACATCTTAAAGATTATCAAGTACACAATACGAACTAGATTTGACTTGCTAAAGTCCATGAGACTATATCTAAAAAACAGGAAAAGAGATGTGGGGGAAGAATAGCCAAATAAGTTTCAAAACCAACTACCTCCAAAAAATTACAAAAAAGCAATAAATATTTCCATCTTATATATTATCATTATGCACAAGTTTTCAATCGCAGGAAGACACATGACAACTTCAATCTAATTACTACTAACATACAGAAGTTAAGTGACTTTTGTCAAAGAAACAGCTAGAAGTGCAATCAAAGCAAGTCCTGAAATTTGGGCTTACGGCATATCTCAACCCAACAAAACCAACTTGTAAGGAGAGGATTGGTCACACTTTATAAGTTCTATTTAGAAAATATCTCTCTGTGACATGGAATTAAATACACCCAAGGTTGTCAATCTCGAGAGTTTACGTAATCTCGTGGAAACTCTGTAAACTCGAATCGTAAACTCATAAGAGTTTACTTAATATAAAAAATATGTTAAAAAATATGATTCAATCCCAGACATGATAAAGAACAGAGAAAAAAAATGGGACTGGATAGAAAATATATTAGATAGAGAATAAAAAAGGAGAAAGAACATGGCTGAGCTAAGACTGAGAAGAACCTTTGTCTTGGTGGCTGATGTGGCTCGCGAAAGAGCACATACGCAACTTAGACAAAATGTTCGCGCGGAGAACGACGTGTGCAGCTGCGACAAGCACGACAGTGAGTGACTGTGACTTCGGAGAACGATGCGCGGAGGAGGAATGATGCGTAGAAGAGAAGTGGCGCAGCGCAGATCGGAACAATGCACGACGCTGCGCAGAGGAGAAGCGGCACGAATCCGAACCACACTCAGAGGAGCAGTGACATGAATGAGAAAGATATGCGTAGGAGAAGCAGCACGGAGACAACACGGAAACAAGAGAAGAAAAGAATGAACAACGAGGGTAAGAAACCCTTAATGAAATGCACATTTTGAGGTTTGGTAAACTCGCGGATCTCGTAGTAAACTCGCGATTTCATGCAAGATTACCCAAATTCGCTCAAGATTACTCAAAACGAGTTTACCTCCGAGTTGTCCCGTTTTGCTTCAATAAACTCAATCTTGGACGATATTACGAGTTGTAACTCGAGATTGACAACCATGAAGACACCCCGTCAAAGAAGCAATTAAGGAAGCCCCCAAAAGGACCGCAATTCAAGCTGCTTTCCAACAATAAGCATACAGAAATCTTAAAAATACTACATTAGGGTGCAGGAGCAGATTTGCAATCATCAAATTCAAAATCAATTATATTTGTCATCACTTATCAACAGTTCAACCCTAGGAACTTGTTAATTGAAAAGCACCAAGAATTCATTTTTTACTACATGTGAAACTCAACAATATTACAGATTTTCAGATTGAGGCAATGCACCCCAGCTGTTGTGATGTTACCTATAATCTTCAATTCTAACTGCTTTCATGAATTTTAAACTAGTCAGCCTCATATTAATCATTAAATTCCTTGAGTCATAACTCAAAAGTGAGGTTTCTTTTATTAGATGAGTACTAGCATGACTCTTCTTAGGAGGTCAGAATAAAAATCTTGAGATCATCAACATTCAACTGATCTTAATATTATGAAAGTATGTGTTAGTCTATCAGATCATTTGCAAAAGGGGAGGCAAGAGGAGATGAAGATCATTTGCATCCTAAAATGAGACAGTTTCTTTAAATTTTAAAAGAAAATGAAAATATCTACAGCACCATTTGGATTGCTTTTTGTCAATTTTCATTGAAAATAGTGCTTAAAATATGTTTGATAAAACTTTAGGAAATAATTTCTTTGGACAAGCCCAAAATTGAAAACATTAAATGTCATTTCCAGCATTCTGTTTCCTACATTTTATATATCTCTTTTGGTGGAGCCGTGCCTAAGAAATGTCATGGTCTTGGGTTCCTGCGATTGGATTTTGTGGTGGTAGACATCTAACCTCTATTGATGGTGAGGAATGAACAGAGTGCAGTGGAAGTTTATTTTCAGTGGCACAAAATGACTCGTGGGTTCATTGTAGCAAACCATTGTATTTGGAGCTGGATTTGGATAGAGGTTTGATGGTGGTGGTATGGTAGGTTCCACCAAGGACTGGCAGTGGTGCAGTTGGAGACATCCGTGGTTTCAATATCAAAGTCAGGGACAACTTTGATGCTTCAAATTTGGTGGTGAGACAATGGTTTTGATGGAGAGGAGTTGGGGACAACATCAATGCTTTAGATACCGAGGCAAGTCGATGGGTGGCTTTATGGGCTTTGATGGATTGAATGATGGGCAGTGCAACAAAGGGAGAGGATGCAGTATTAAGCAGAAGACAACAGAGAGGCGGTGGTTCTGATTTGCAAACAAAGCCAGCAACTACAGTGACTGTGACAAGGTGTTGGGTGACTTTAAGGGTGGTGACGTGAACAGGTAATGAAAAATAGAAAACATTTCCTCAAACCGACTCGAAAATTTTTTATGTAATTCCAATTATAAAATATAGATCAAGGTTTGAACCAGGGTCCCCTAGTTTGCCAAACAAAGGTCAATATAGATGTCCTGGTAACCAAGCCCCACCCCCAAATTCAATTATTTAATTGACCTAGTACTGTATTGGACATTAAAATTACCTGAGCAAGAAAATAAAATATGGGGAATCGGTTCGGTTAAATAGATCAATCAGAGCACCACGGTCACCTCCTGATGTATGCCCATCCAACCGGAGGTACCGATATTGTTTTAAGGCCAAGTATTCCTCCATGACATCCAGAAGCCTAGTCATAGTCGAAAAGAAAAGAACCTGAAAAGGTATTAACAGTATGTTATTAGACATTAAAAGTTAAATTTCCAACATAAATCATTAATAAGGTACTCATTAAATAAAAAACAGTTTAGTTCAATTGACTTAGCAAAGGGAGAATGAACTGTCAGACATTCAGCATCAAAAGGAGCAACTAGACAACTAGATTTTAAACAGACAAATGCATGCATGGTAAATAAGTTTACAAAATATCTTCAGTTATAACAATTCATATCAATACTGACATGAAATGAGTCAATACTGGCAACAATTAAATAGCATATGGCATACCCGATGATCTGTCGCCTTCAATTTTGGTAATAAACGGTCCAACATCTCAAGCTTCCCACAAAGTCTAATAATTGGTGGCAGATAATGTTTAGGTATGAAATTATCCACCTGCAAACAGAAAAAGGTCATATTGTACATAACCAAAACAAGAGAATAACAAATACATAATAACATCAAACTTGACTGCCTGACAAAGTAGTTAAATAAACAAAGTTGACTACTTCAAACAGATAACACACCCATTTTGGAAGTTTAAGTTATTGCCTCTGCAAAGAATTTCATTACTTTCTGGTTGCATCATTGAAGTTAGGAAGTGATAAAAACTATAGACAAACATTACACTGTAACTAGATCCATAAGCATACAATACGGAGAAGCGAAATGAATATGAACATGAAGTTAATGTGGTTAAACCTACACCAAACTATTAGCCTACCTACACACAATTCACTATGATCATTGAATGTTATCAATGCTCAACACACAAACCCTAATTCAGATACAAATCAATCATCAATCTAGTTGGGATTTTTTGCTAATTCTACAAGTCTATATTTCATACATTCAACCCTCCACTTCTACCATATCTCCAAGAAAATTCCTTCTCAAGTCACAAAAGAATTCCTGGCTGAGTCGCATGGCAGGACAACCCAAAATAAATACAAACAACTTTATAGTTTATAAGTTACACCACCTTGTTTAACTCTTAAGGATTTTTCTTTAGTCAACTTCTGCTTATTTAGAAAATGATCCTGAGATGAAGATTCATAATTTATATAATAGAACACAGCATTTTTAAATCTCAGTTTCACATAAGAAAAGTATCACACCATAATTCAAACCTCATAAAATCCATTTCCTGAGTAACAGTTAAAATCATTAACAAAATGCATTCAATCGGAGAAGAACCATTCACAAAAGAGAAATATACCTCCTCTGCATGAAGCTGACTGAGATATGGATGATTGCATATATTACGAAGCTCCATGACAGAGTTGTGTACTGATCGAGCCTAAAAATTATAAATTTCAATTAGACCAGCAGAGTAAATACATTTATGTATGCTATACAGGGTAGCTATTTTATCTAAAGTGAAAATAGAGGGAAACAAAATCCTTGTCCAGCATGGCAGCATCAAAAGGTCAAAAAACATCATTCAACACACAGAAGAAGGTGCTAGAAAAGATACCTTTGAACTACCAATAGAACCAAGATTTTCTTCCACCCTCTTCATCAGAAGTTTTTGATATGAAGAAGCCTCACATCTAATTAATCTCTCAATCTTCTCAGGCAGCTCATTTTCAACCTGAAATAAATTGAAAGTAACACAATATCAGAAGAAAATATATCTCAAGGCCGAAAAGAGAGGGGACTATTTGGTTTAAGAAAATGTTCTTATTTCCCATTTAATTACACAAAATGTCACCTTGCATTCACTTTGTTCCCTTTTCTCCAAAAACTGTATAGGAAAGACTAAAAAGGGTTGTTTTCATTACAAATCTTTTAAATCAGGAAACAAAATAAAAACAAGGTGTCATTTTTAAAGTGAAAATAAGAAGTGAAAACAAAACCTTTTTTTCAAAGAAAACGTGCCCTAAATTGAACTTTTTAAAAATCATATTCCAACTTATTAAAATTGATAAATAAATAAAAAAAGCAAATACTTATGTTAGATAATAACAGACCAGAAAAGGAAGTGCATCAGATGGCCTGAATAATGCAGAACATATTTTCCATATCTATTAAACCACTCAATCTTGAGATACTAAAACACCAATTCTATATCATCAGATATTCATAAAATTTCGGATAGATAAATTTTAAAAGCTCATTTTTGATAATTATGTTTTATGTTACCTTAATTTCATAATTTACAATGTAAGAAATTACAGTAAAAAGCTATAATGCACATTGTTAGGACTGCGGATGTGGACTTGGGTCCAAGTGGGCAATTAGTGGATCAATTGTACAAGCCCAAGGTGTGAAGAGTCTATGTGACAAGAAATAGGAGAGGGCTGAAACAAAATGATGAGGCGCCAAGGGGGGCAACTGAATTGCCAATCGTGTAAGGGGTATTGGGTATATAGGAAAATGAATAGAGAGAGAGAGGGCACTTTTTGATGTGAATCAGTTATTTTGTTATTGGCAGAGAGCACTAGCTCTATGAAGGAGCATTGCTCTGTGGCAGTAGGAACCTTGCATGCTGAATTTTCCTCTCATTGTTAATAACATAATTCTCTAAGTTTAATCTTTTTTATTGACTGCTTATAAATTAGGTTCCTAACGCATACTGCTAAAAGGTTTCGGGAGTGCGCATGAATATCAACAAAGAAATTGAGACCTCAACAAAGAAGAAAAGAGAATTATGAATACATGCATGAAGAGCCATATACTTCAATAGCATTCTATGAATGTGTGATTGCGGGCATAAGTACATACTACTAAGAATGAAATATTGATTAGACGAATCAAAACAAAAATCATAAGCAACGTAAGTATTTTGATAAAGAATAAACTCTGGTCACAAAACACAGAAAGGAGGAGTAGGAACTATGCTTTAATGAGCTTAAAGTTGAGCATTAAAAACCTTGTGTTTCAGTCTCCTAAGTACAAATGGTCTCAAAACTTGGTGCAGACGATTTATGATCAAGAGATTCTCCTCCTCAGACAATAAAGCCTATTTATAGATATAACAATGAACACATTAAAAATCAATGAGGCTAAAATTAGAACTCGAGTGTAAATTTAATAGATATAAATAAATATAATCCAAAATTTACTTCATCAGGTGAGCTATCACCCGCACTCTCAAATGGTTTGTTAAACCATTGAGAGAAGTCCTCTGATGAATTGAATATGTTTGGTAACAAGAAATTAAGTAGTGCCCACAGTTCTTCAAGATTGTTCTGCATATAAATTATAAAATAATAAAACCAGCAGTCACATAACATTAATGATATAAAATAAGGGCGAAAGTGCAACAAAGAACATAGCATTAGCCTCCAATAAAGGTTGAGCAGAACCTTTTGGTTATTCCCAAGAACAAGCACATGTATATATTTGAAAAACTAAAGGGGTAAAAGAATCGGGAAAAAACCTGCAACGGTGTTCCAGTTAACAGCAATCTGTGAGAGCTCTGATAGTGTTTCAAGTCAGCATTCAACTTGCAAGAAGCATTCTTTATGCGGTGGCCTTCATCAATAATTATATAATGCCAATGTATTTTGCTCAGCTTTGGCCTATCATGTTTATTCATCAAATATTCATACGTAGTCAAAAGAACATTGAATTTCTGATGAACAATCTTTTCCCTGAAATATAAAAGAACAGTTAAGAAACACACCAAGACATAAGAGCATAAAATAGATGAAGAGGGTTGAAATCTAAAGTCCAATTACTTGAATAATCGACGTCTCTCCTCTGGCGGACCAGCATAGACAATTTTATGAACTCCTGGAGCCCAGAAGTTTATTTCCGAGTCCCAACCAGGTAGAACTGAAGAGGGCACGACCACAAGAAATGGTCCTCTATCATTTTTTGTTTCCATCAGATAGCAAATTAAAGAAATAACCTATAAAAAGGGCGTTAGAATTTATAGATACAAAAATTCTTCCAATCTTTTTATTGCAAAATATGATCCATGATCTTCAGCATGTATATATTTACTGTAATAATTGTAAAATCCCAAAAAAGCACAAATTATTCAAAAGGGATACAGACAGTAAATAACACACTTCCAAAATGCTAAATAAAAAAGACAAAAAGGAACAAAATAGAAATCCAGCTGAGTATACTAATTCCTCAGTTCACAAAAATTGATTACCTGTACTGTTTTACCCAGTCCCATTTCATCAGCAAGAATTCCATTTAAATGATTGTTGTATAGGGAAACAAGCCACCTCAAGCCATTCATTTGATACCTAAGGACAAAGATTGCAGTCAGAAAGAACATAAGTCCTTAGATCCAAAAAAGGTAGATAGAAGAAGTCCAAAGTCCTTGCTTGTCAGACAAGATTAAAGGAAACTGACGAAAGTGTAAAGTGAGAATGACAAAAAAAATCCCCACTGCGACAAAGAAGATGCACAATTACAGCCAAAAAAAACTACAAACAACTCAACTAAATGCAACAAAAATAAAATTAGATCTCCATGGCAAGACACAAGCAATGCAAATATTTGACTTACTCCCTCAATTTCCCGCCTTGCAAACTAGATGGCTGCTCTGCAATGCTCTCTTTTATACTGCAGGGGGAAAAAATATCAGAATAAACCAGAAGGAATACTCAGCACAAAAGAAATTTAACATACACATTTATAGATTAATGAAACCAGTGCACCATGAACACTTTTGATTCTTTGAAACTAAACTAAACCAGCAAACCCCCCAGTCTCCAATGTTATTTACCCTTTCATTAATAGCAAAAATACAAGATAAGCAACTTTTAGTACCAAGAAATTTTTTTAAGAGTACACTAGACTTGGTTCCTGGGCGATGCATGGGTATAAATATCTCTTATTTTTATATTTTATAATATTATTTTATTTTCATAATAATAATTCATTATTGGATATGATTTCTTTATTATAATTACTTTGTTTTATAATACTACTTTTCTACTATTTTAGATCTTAAGCTATTATTATTATTTTATTAGTATAGTTACATTTTTTTATTTTTCTTATTATTATAATACTAATTCAATATTATATTTTCATTCATTATTAGTATTATTTTATTTAGCTTATATTTATTTGAAGATTAAAATATTAATATATATATATATATATATAAATTTTTTATATTAATATTAATCAACAATTTTATTATTATTTGAAATATTCTGTGATATTTCAAATGATTATTACAAAATTATTTTACTGCTATAGAGAGATAATTATTATTTATCTTGGATAATATGAATTTTAAGTTAATTTTAATCTAAATTTTAATTTAATTCCTGGCATTTTAATTTTCATGTGTTATACAAAGAAAGTTCATGTGCTGATGCTCTTGCAAGGATGGCGGCTGGGGGCTCCAGGAGATGAGAGTTTGGTTGTGTTTCAAGAGCACCCGGTGTCTCTTGGGGAGCTCAGCACGTCGTATCAGATAGACTAGTTTAGTTGGTTTCTTTCTTTTTTTGGTTTTTCTTTTCTCAAGTGTACCAAAAAAAATACAACAAAGTTCATGTATTTTAATTTAAATAGTGTACCCCAAATGTTTACTATATATAACTAAAATTTTTAATAAATTATATATACAAATAAATACTATATTTAAACATAAAAATTATATTTAAAATTTGCATAAATAGATATTTTTGAACATATAAATTATATTTTAGATATAAGATAAATAATTTATATTGCTGCGTAAGATTGTTTCTAATTATTGATAATTTATTTAAAAATATTAAAATTTAATTTATAAATAAATATGATTATAAAAAAATTGAATCAGATAAGAAGTTAAAAGATACTCAAAACATAGCTTTCTAAAATTACTCTCACACTAGATAGTTGTTTGTGTTTAATATATAAAGATTCTTTTAAGTCATAAATAAATATGATAACTAAAAAAAAAACTCTCGCAAAAGATATTAGTTCGCGTTTAATATATAAAAGTTGATTTTTATATCTTTCTCAGTAATATTTTAAATGTTTATGACATTTTAAATATTTATAATATTATTATTTTATAATTTTAAGAGATAATTATATATAATATTTGAAATATTAAAATATTAAAAGGTAATTATTTTAAATTTTATTATAGTATAATTTAATATTATATATATTATCATATTTATATATACAAAATGAATCAAAAAAAATATTTATATGTACAAAGGGTGCATTTTGCACTGCACCAGTTTTACTGTATCTATCGTATAAAAGTGCAGCACTAATACCTGTGAGCCATCTTATAGTACTTCTCATTGCTTTCCATATAATGCTGTAAAAAAGAATTGGAACAAATAAGTTACATGACATGTTGAACAATTTAAGATTTAAACACGAGAAAGAGAAACAGATGCGTGAAGAGAACTTGCCTTGGCCTGATCACTTTCATCATCATTTTCTGTTTCACTATTCTCAAGAAAATTGACACTCCCTGTGTCATCAACATCCTGCCCAAAACGTCCTGCTGCAGCTTTTGCTTCCTGTAGCTTGGACCCAAGCTTTTGAAGATACTTCTCGGTCTCTTTAAGCAGTTGCTTCACACGATCTGACTTTGCATCCTAATTTACCATCGAAAATGGCATTAAGCATGCAATACATAAGCCCAGTATCAATTTATATCAACAAGAAAATAAACCTCCCTGCACCATGTTCTAATGTACCATTGAAAATGGTATTAAGCATGCAATACATAAAGCCCTGTATCTATTTAAATCAAATAAGAAATCTACCTGCACCATTCGAAGATAGCCCTCCACATCATTTATTTTCAGTAAATTAATTTTTTCCCGCTGGATTCTATCAATCTTCTCACGATGAATACGTTCTTTTCTTTTATGGAACTCCTTTACATATCTATTGAAACCCTTCCACCGTTCCCTCTTGATTTTGAATACATCATCAAGTTTTTCCCTAGATTTCAAGTAATAATTGAGGAAAGGAGTAAGGAGAGCACTAATTCATAGTTATCTATGATAATACATTAGAAAAATTAAAGAGGTAGAAAAGGCGGATAGAAATGGACAGAAAGAACGCGTACTTGTGAACCTCTATCTCACTGAAAAACTCCTTCTGCCTCTCACGAATCCTTTTCTGACGCTCTTCCTTCATTTTCTGCTCAAACCTTTCAAGTTGTTTGACCCTCCTACCATGCCTATGTTTCTTGATTGATTTTAAATGTTCCATATCAGTTGTGATTGGTTTGAAAAAATCATTCAGAAAATCACTGCCCAAAAAGGGAGAATATACTGTTAAATCGATAATTGAAGAAAATAATAAATATATTCACACAAGAACACAGATTACCTCCGGAGACGACGTTGGAGCTCTAATAATTGAAGCTTTTTCAACTCTATGACACTTTTGGTTTTAGCAGAAATATCATCAGAGGAGCTCACATTTTCCTAAAATACATAGAATGAAGCACAGGCAATGATGTTTATGCAAAGCGAAGCCATTACCAATAACACATTGTGTACGTGTGGCTGCAAAAATCACTTGAATGTGCAAGGAGAGCATATTAAACACTAAACTAGAAAAAGTGGCAGTTAAGTAAAACAAACCTTTAACTTGTGAAAACTTGTAGCCATTCTTTGCTTTGTTTTCTGCTGTTTTTGCACCCAATTTTGCTCAACTAGAAGCCTCTTTTTCTGCTGATCCATGATCCATTTCTCCGACATTGTATATTTTGGAGAAGGTGGCAAATCGGCAGATACCAACCTGTCATTCCCATCTTGCTCTGCAAAAGCCATGCCAAGCTTTGATGCATTATCAACTGGAACAGTTTTGAATCCATCTGAAAGAGATCATGATTAATACTCAGAAACCCTTCAATCAATGACACTTTTTAATGCAGAAAACAAAAACTGTAAAGAAACTGACTGCAATAACATTGTTTTATTGAGTATGGTTTACACCTGTAGAAGCGTGTTTTATCATCACATTTCCATCCTTCATCATGGTTGCTCCATGAGGATCACTATCCGTCCCTGGAACAGGTTTCCATTGCTCTTTTAAAGAAAAAGAAGACAACTGGTTAACAGAATTGTGATTCCGTGAACCACCATTGTTACCAACATTTTGAAACTGACTAGGAATATTCTCTCTTCTTTCCAAAGATAACTCATGTTGAATAGTAGAGATCTGAGAAGGCCCCTTTGAAGCCTCATTAGCACCAGCAAAACCAGCCCAACTATTTGGGCCAACAACAGAGGATTGGTTAGATCTTCCGACCTGCATATTACTGGTGTCAACATCATCCAAATGATTATTACCAACTACAGCACCCCTTGTACTTGAAGAATCTTGCTGCTGACAAGAAGTGGCTGAGGAAGCTTGTGCAGTCACTCTTTCTTGAATTCGCCTTTCAACCTCTCTTTTTGTGGAATGTAGGTTACCTTTGTCCTCCAATGTTCTTGGGCTCTCAGTTCCCTTTGACAAAGAGTCAGCCTCGACAATTTTTCCGGCTGAAGAGGAACCTGATGGGTTTTTATCCGGCTGTCTCACATTGCTCGGACTTCCAAATGGCATCATGATCCCAGATGCATTACCTGGTTCACTAAAAGATTGTGATTTTCCTTTGTGGTCAATTAGATCTTTGCGAGAACCATCTGTATTACCATCACATTGTTCGCTAGTTAGTTAATGAAGATCTTCAATTTGTTAAATAAAATTTAAACATCAGTCACCTTCTCTAGAAAAGGCTGTTCCAAGTGCAATTTCAAGATGTAGTTTCTTTGGTGCTAAACCATTTCTGCGTATTGAACAACAAAGTTTCACATACAAAATATAATGCAAGTCCATTACTTCAAATCCAAAAGGTGATAGCAGAACTGCCTACCTAAATGCTAGAAAAACAAGACACTGAGCTCGAAGCTGTTTTAACTGTTGTTCCTTAAAAGGCATGGCAGATGATGTAGCCATGGCAGGAACAGTGGATTTTCCTGTGTCTCTAGGAGGAACACCTTGTCTCAGCATAGTCATTTCCGAGCCACTATTTTGCCTGCCAATCTGACAATAAAATAACCTGGTCAAGTAATCAAGTTGAATATATACAAGTAACATAGTCAAAAAGAGAACAGAAGTAGAATTACTTTTAACGTTATATGATTAAAGCTAGGTGGGGAAAAAATAGAGCTAAGAGACAACTACTGAGGCAAAAAACTAGTGAATAGCAAGTACCTGAGCAATTTTATGTCCATCAGCTAAAGTAGTAGAACTTCCCCCATCACGCTCAACTGCACCCCCATATTGCATTGAATTTGAGAAAGCTTCGGCCATTGAAGAAGCACCAGCTGGAATCGCCATCCCTCCATGAATCTTTGCATAAGCACCTGAAATCAACATAAATTATTTTCTATCAATAACAGTGCACAAGAAATTCAAAATTATAGTTGTTTTTTCTTTGATTACATCTAATTCCGGGTAAAATTAGCATTTCCTCAGTCATTCTTTCCATAATGACCTAGTCATGGTGAAGTATCCAGCAGCAGAGAACACTCGGAAATAATTAAGGAACAGTTATGACCGCTAAGAACTAGTGTTAAACAAAACCTCTACTCAAATAAAGTCATCAACTCCAATAATTATATTTACTTGTAGGCTCTTCTAGAATGTCTTTTGTCAAAATTCACTGACCACTCAAATATTAGACATTGGCATTTTAGTATGAATATCCCAAATTGATTGCAGTTCTCAAACCCAGGAACACAGTTTGATCAAGTTATACCATGACTTATGGTTGAAAATTCTCCAAATCCATTACTTACGCTAAGGGATTTTGGTATTAACTGCTGCTCTGGAGTGCCATCATATTACCAGGAACAACATTAGAAGAAAACCAAGAAACGTGAGATTTTTTAAAAGAGGTAATCCAGCTAATTTTTTTATTACAAATTTACATACACATCTAATCTCTGTGTAGAAGGTAAGAAAGTACCTTGCTGCTTCCCTGAAGCAATATGTGCAGAGGAAACTTCTGTGTCTTCTGCATACTTTGAATTTGGTGCTCGCGCCATTGGATTGCCAATCTTTGTCAAATCAGTTTGCTTTGCCAATAAATGATGACCTTCTTGGTTTGCTCTAAGCATTGTTCTCATGCTACCAGGCAAAGTCGAAACATTCTCCATTTGACCACTGTTTGGAGCCATGTTAAAGTTGGCTAGTTCACTACTTTTAACTGGAAGACCATCTGATGATTCAGCCTTGTTCATTTTCCCCTTCCTTGTATTAACACCAGTATTGCGAGGATCCAGCTGAGAAGGACTGTCAACATGCAGTTCCACAGGTGATGATGTATCTCCCCTCTTTCTCTTTGCCGTAGCTTTCTTACCATCCTTTTGATTCACCTGTTTGTCCCAATTGGAAGTATCACGTCTGTCTTGTGATTGAGAGTTAGCAGACCTAGAATCCAAACTAGATGGACTTCCTTGATCAAAAGACTGACTACTCCTCTGAGCCACAGATCCTTGATAATAATCAGGTGCTCCACCACTTGGGGCAACCGGTGGCCGGCCAGAAGCAAAAGGGTCCATTTTGGACACATCATTTTCAGCCAAGCCCACTCGGGAATCTTTGGTAATGTTCGACTGTGAAGAAGATCCTGCATAAATTATCAAACAATGAAATCAAAATCACATAATAATTATAACAAACATCCTTTCTACAATAGGCAAACATGCATAATCACCTATCTGAGGACCACCAGTCAAAGGAAGACGTGATGACTTCAATGCTTCAATATCAAGACCATTTTGGTTGATGACAGTTTCCATTGCCCTAAAACAGACAACATTAAGTCAGATGAAACAGCATTGTGCAAAAAACCAAATACTGGGTCAACTTACCAACACTAACAAACAAAGGTTCAGTGCTAAGAATGACAAGTATTAGCTTCATTACAGTCACCAAGGCACCACAAAGAAAATTAGGTTCACAAGATGAGCCACATCATAACCTAGAGACTTAAGCTCATCATCCATTTCCAAAGTCAATCAAATAAAGGTATTCACATGAGAAGTAGCCATCAGTTTCAAGCATAAATTGCCCAAGCCAAACTACACAAAGCAAGTAAATAAATCCAACCTTTTTTTGTTTGGAGAGAGATTGCAAAGTCAAAAATTTCTTCAAACCACACATGATGCAATTAAACAAACCATTCTCATGATTATTTCATATTCCATCACAAAAATGGCAATGCAGATTAATATCTTTTATACCATGAAAGGAAGATTTCAAAACAAACCATGCATCCTATTGACAATCAGAATCAACTCAATTTCGTTAGCTCACTTTAAAAGAGCAGGTCTAACCAAAAACAATTAAATAACTGCATATGGGGGTGAGTTTGAGTGATAAGTTGCAGACGTTTTACCTTGATATCACTTGATATGGCATTGAATGCTCCTTCCCGCTTGATTTCATGTGTTGTAGTATCTGAAGCATTCATCAAATTAATCAAAAGTATACCTAGTCTTTCATAGGCAGTAAAAGAACAATTAAATTGTTTCATTAAGAGAAAAACAACACACACCACATAGAGTTTAGTAGCCAGCTTGGCTGGCTCATCTTTAGAATCTTGAATGAGTTTATGCAGAAATTTTGCAGCCTCCAATTCAACATTATGCGAAGAGGCCATCTCATCTGAACTGCACAAGCAAAATATCGTAATTGTGATATCAACATAAACTCAGACCAGCCAGAGATTTCAGGATAGTCAATCTATCATTTTAAGCTAATAATGTTAACACAATGACACAATTTACCCCAAAAAGGACACTGGGGGAAGTTGTTAAGAGGGATCTAATGGTAACAATCCAAATGGTGTTGTTGTAATCCATATAGCCGACCTCACCCAGTGGGAAAAGGAAGACTAAACTAACACAAAGACATAACTGAATTTCAATGTCGAAAGCACATAAAAAAACCCAGGCAGACAAGATTATGACAACCTCCAGAAAATAAAAGGAAAAAACATTAATTAGGTAAAGCAAGGGGCCAGTGTTTAGCATCTGAGACAACAATCAAAAAGATATATAATCATATCAAGGAATCTATCTATTGTTCCCAACTAGCTAAATTCTTCCCTGTAGTTGTACCCTAACTTGAAGCCTTCAAAACCCGATACAAGACATTCATCCATCCCAAAATCCATCATCATACAGAATAACCACCATTTTCCTCCCTTGTCCCTAAATAAAACGCTTACTTACGAGCATCTATGAAAACACAGACGCGCACACACACACACATCGTTGACACTGTGAAACACGGAAAATCCCCTAAAACCTTGAAATGCCAGCTGAACCCTACACG